GCCGAATCTTGAAGCCGATCATTCGGATTCGCTGGGAGAACGCTAACTTCTGCGCCAGTATCGACGAGGTAGCGAACTCTCGTTGTCACATCTGTGACGTATAACAGACGGCTATGTTCGCCGGCTACGGTTGCCGTTAACGCGTGCCGGCTTGGAAGTTTCCCGAATTGTTTTTCGAATCAGTCGGTTTCGTGTTGGGAAAATTGCAGGGTTTTCTGCAATTTCTGGAAAGCTTTCCATACTGGTTATGATACCAGCACCAGTCGTGGTTATCTGTCTCTCGTGGTCTAGAGACAGATCACTTACGAGAAATGCTTCTACGTGGTGTGCGCGATCTCTTACGGTCGGTACGAAGACTAAGATAACGCGTGAGTGTGTGACATAAGTCGGTTGTATCATTCTGAGTCGTTTGAGGTTTTTCTTTGACTGAAAATACCTCGGTAGTAGAAGGTTTCGTAATTTCTAAAATGCGGTCGGCAGATGCAGCTAGCTCGTCTAAGGCGTTGTTCTGGAACGAGACCAGAACTGCTTGCACCTGTTGTGGAAGTTTTGACAAGAAGAGTTGTTTGAATAGACCTTCGTCGAAAGTTCTTGGGCCTATAACCTCTCTCATCCGTTGCAACATGTCTGTCGCAGAACCGTGTTGCAGGTCGATGTTATTGAAGAGTTGATCTAACCTTTGTCGATCGGTTAGGTCTCCTCGTTTAAGAATCGAGCGTTTTAAGATTTCGTAAGGATCGGAAACATCACTAGTAAACATACTGGGTGTTACGTACCTGTTGAATTCGCGCGGTAGTGCCTTGACTACTGCGAGGAATTGTGCACGTGTGTCGATCACGCCGTGCTGGGAGAAGTCGGCTTCTGCGTAGCAAAACCAGGCTTCGATGTTTTCGGGCCAGAAAGGCATCAGTTGAAACGAAGGCGGGGACAAAGTCTTAAGCTTGAGTACTTTATGTGTCTGTTCAGTCATGATGAAGTATGAAGTACGATAATGAACGAGGGGAAAATATATATATGTCCAAGAAAAATTACGAAAAAAAATCACAATGTTTAAAAAAAAAATAAAAAAAATAGGGCAATGATATATAAAAATCCCAAAAAGGAACAGACTCACAGTTGCAATTAGGTGTACCAGATCACGTCGGGCTCGCCAATGATGATGTCACAGTTATTCAGTGTTTGACAACGCTTCTACCAGTAACACCTTCGAATATATTTCGTGCCCGCCCAGAGAAATCAAAAGACAGAGTCAAGGAGATCGGAAGAGTATATTTGGCGATGACCAATATATCGGAATTCTCTGATCTAATCTGGCTACCGATTGCGGTTGATGTTGAGCACGGCGTTACCACACGTGATCTGGTGCGGATGCAAGACCGAGCGCCTTCAGCTAGATGAGTCCACTAAAACATATGGTCAGCATCCAATGTCGAAAGCTTAGGGCTATTTATTTTGAGGATTTATTTACCGCTACAGTAGTTTCAAATAAATTGAGCATTGGATATATTTATTTATAAAAATATATTTGTTATATCCCAATGATTTGAAAAAAGTTTGTTACCTTTTTCTTTAATAAGTCTAAAAAGTCTGTTATTATCCTTCCGCTCTACCTTTTCCATCTCATTTACTGTCATTACCTACCACCATTCACAATCACTACGTACACCTTTCGGTCTGCTTTTATGATACCTTCGTTCCTCGTCGTGTTCCGATTCTGATTAGATGAGATTTTAGTGATCTATCCATCCAATAGATGCTATCCAAACTAACTGACGTTTTCGCAAAGATTTTGGTTGTAGCCACTGGTAGACGACTGTTGTTTCCATAGATGTTTGGATATCTTACCAACTTACATCGGAGTGAATATTACTTTGCTGATTGACTTACTGCTTCTTTAGTTGTTCTTGAAATATACTCTTAATTTTCCATCGTTAAATTTAATCTTTAAAGGCTTTTCTGCTTCCACTAGGATGGAGATAAACACGTGTTCACTTCAGAACATTACCAGTCTAAACATGTGCTCCAGAATGAGCAGACGTCTTTTATCGGGCCTCTACAACTATGGCTGATAGCGATAATGTTTATTTGTATAGATCTTTGTGTCGATTTCGGGAGTTGCCATGTCAGAAGTTTCTCCTTATATTTGAAGTTGATGCCTGATAATAATAAACATTTGCCTAAGCATGGTTGCAGCAGACAGCCGTTGTTATCTGTTCTCTAGGATTGGACATTGTAAGACCTACCTAAGTATGTCTCACTTTTGTTTAGACTATGCAGTCAAGCACTAGAATCTCAAACAAACAGTAGTGTTCAATCTTTTGGCTTTTCGACGGACAGTAAAAGCACTTTTTTAAAATTCATCTCTTCCAAATTATAGTCAGTTTGAACGTAGGCAGAGACGTTAAAGAGCCATTGGAGTGTCCTTATCTTTCCACGTTCCTAATGTCTTGTTAATTCTGACGGCTTGCAAATAACTGTCTATTACAATTCAGTCTAGGAAAACCTGTTCAAATGTAGTAACCAGAAGTTAATGTCAGAACCTCAGATTCACGCAAGTTGAATCACATGGATTATTTATAATTATTGCACTGGGATCCTAAACTTATATTTCAAAAACAGAATATCTCGAGACTTTAGAGTTCTAGCTAAGGTAGTTCGTTGTTCGATATGACATAAGGTTCAAACATTGGGAGCCTACTTTCAAGAGGTCAGAAGTAACATTTCGTGAACTTAAAACCTTAGCATTGGTGGTGTATGTGAATGATTGAGTAACTGGAGAAGTGTTGATAATGGGAATAGAATGAATATTAGGAAGCAACAGAGGGATTCGATTGTAAACACGATCACTAACGTGGTTAAAGGCATCGGAGTGATTGTTACTTTTTGGTTCCCAACAAAGGCTAAATACAGGAGAGATGCTGCTATACTCCGGTCACGAAAAGGAAAATGCTCCGCATACTCAGAGAGTTGCTCTAATGCTGTTCAAGGTAGCACGAAATACGCTTGTAGGATGGGAATCTCACGGATTCAGAATCATCAAAGCATCATTCCAGACAAAGAAGGGGGGGATCGCGATGAATGTTATGCACCCACCAATGATAGCAACGACGAAAATAAAGATCAATTCTATGAGAGGCTGCAATCAATCATAGTGAAGTGCCTGAGAAAGGACCTCACCATTCTGATGGGAGGTCTAAACACCAAAGTCGGAATAGACAACACCGGATATGAAGATATCATGAGACAACATGGACTGCAAATCTATGTGCATTCAAGAAATTGGTCATAGGCGGCACAATATTCGCACACAAACGTATACACTAAGTTACATGGATCTCAACGGTCCACACCACAGAGAACAAGATCGATCATAATTGTGTCGGCAAAAAATTCCGAAAGACAATGGAAGATGTGAGAACCAGGAGAGGAGCTGAAATAGCTTCAGATCACCACCTGGTGGTGGCCAAGATTAAACTGAAGCCAAAGAAAAATTGGACAACTGGGGGAACAGCATTACAAAGGTTCAATACAGCCTTCCTTCGAGATACTGACAAACTCAACAACAGGTTCCAAGCCTTACAGGATCTACTGAAGGAAGAAGAAACTACTATGGAGGACAAGTAAAAAGGTATCAAAGAAGCATTAACTTCAACGTGTCAGGAGGTTCTGGGCCGCAACAAGCATCATTATAAGGAATGGATCTCCATGGAAACCTTGGACAAGTTTCGAGAAAGGAATCACAAGACGACAGCAATTAACAACAGCCGAACACGATCAGAGGAAGTCAAGACACAAGCTGAGTACACAGGAGCAAACAAGCAAGCTAAGAGGAGTATTAGAGCCGACAAGAAGAAATACGTGGAAGAACTAGCAACGACGGCAGAAAAAGCTTCAAGCGAAGGAATATGATACAGCGAAGAAACTAGCAGGAAGATATAGTAAACCAGAGAGAGCGACCAAGGACAAAGAAGGCAGGACAATCATTGATACTCAAGGAGAGAGAAACAGATGGGTAGAATACACCGAGGAACTGTTGATAAGGCAAGCCCCATTGAATCTGTCGGACATCGAACAGAATCCACAGACTTCTCTATAGATCTCACTCCACCAACGACGGAAGAAATCAGGATGGTCATCAGACAAATCAAGAGAGGGCAAGCAGCAGGACCTGACAGTACGCCACCTGAAGCACTGAAGTCACGCGTAGGAGAAACTGCAAACATGCTCCACGTTCTATTCAGGAAGTGTCGGATGAAGGATAAGTGCCACTGACAGACTGGAAAGAGGAACATCTCATCAAGACACCAAAGAAAGGAGATCTGAGCAAATGTGAAAACTACAGAGGCACTACACTACTGCCAGTACCCGGAAAAGTTTTTAACACAGTGTTACTAAACCGGATGAAAGACTCAGTGGACGCCCAACTTCGGGATCAACAGACTGGATTCAGTAAGGATCGGTCGTGCAAAGACCAAATTGCGACGATACGGATCATCGTCGAACAATCAGTTCAGTGGAACTCGTCACTATAAATCAACTTCATTGACTATGAGGTTTTTAGCAGTATAGATGAGAGGTCCTTATGAAGACTTCATCGACATTATTGTATACCAGAGGAGATTGTCAACATCCTCCAGAATTCATACGACGGACTAAACTGCAAAGTCGTGAATGGAGAACAGCTGACAGATGCATTCCAAGTAAGAACCGTAGTCAGATAAGGCTGTCTACTCTCTCCCTTCCTCTTTTTTCTGCTGGTCGATTAGATTATGAAGACCTCAACATCTGAGGGAAAGCACAGAATACAAAAGACAGCTCAAAACCAATTAGACGATTTGGACTTCGCACGTGGCTTATTCCTCCTATCCCATTTAGTGGCCCGTGTATCTGACTCCCTTTTAGATTGTATGGATGTTTGTTATCGCTTTTTCTCGTATATCATCGTTGACTTAAATCGCGTCATCCAATAACGGAATTAAATAAGTCGAATAACGAGAATTGACTTGAGAATACATATATTTCGTACATGAAGCGAATGAAACATAGCAAAGCAAAAATGACACGTATGGAAGATGGCTGGGAAGCCAACTCCATTTCAAGCCGGGCATTACTCAATATTTATAGGCAGACAAAATAAACTACAGACATGTGATGAGTCATGGGACATGAAGTGTACACACATATACGCTCATATGAAAACAGTCAAGGCTAACAAGCGAATAATTAACAAGGTCAAAACATGACTCAAGTAGAATGAGTAGAATGGAATGTCCGGAAACTAGAATAAGATATACTATGGGCTAAAACGAATGACTAACACTACATAGCCCCCTCGTAGAAAATAGCACATTTAAAAAATGTCTGTTTTCGAAAATAACAGTGAAGTGATACGTAGCTAACGTTAACAATAAGTAGCCAAAAAAATTGTACAACACTCGATAAAGTACAGTGTCACATGAAGGGTGAGTGTATTATATGGAAATGTCATACTTATGCAAAAGAATACATGAATATAGAAAAGACGTGGACAAAAATGGAAACGTTAGCATGCGAATATGAGCAAATTAATGAGCGTACCAAAAATTAACATGTACTAATGCTATGACTGTCTGAACGATAAAATAACACGTTTGTATGAGTGATTCAAATTATCGTGAAAATAGTAATAAATTGTTTGTGGGTATGACAGGGAAATAAATCGTCAAAATGAGTACAGTAGAATATGACAGAAATTGGTCTGTGATGCTGACGAAATAGTGAAATACGTTAAATATATGTTCTGTTGAGCCGCAGCAGAATAAATAGCATCGAATAGCGATGAGTGAATTCGAATTTAAATGCGTAACTCCCGTTCGTAGGATGATAATAGTTAAGTCGTGGAATGATAACTGCATCGACGGGCAATATTCGTTGCTGTACTGCAATTGATAATAATCATAAAATTTGAAGTCAGTGAACGTTGTCGTCTGCGTTATGACAGATGCACCGAGTTATCGTTGAATATGTATTAGTAGAATGGCTAGAGGAACAGAATAGTGACTGAGTAGACGAGGTACATAGAGTCGTATTCCTTTTTGGTCATGAAGCATAGAGTGGTTTGTGTGGTTTGAGGGAGATGCGCTCGATCTCGTTTGTTACAAAACCGTACCAAGGCATGACAAAAATACCAATACATATGGTTAGCGATGGCGACGTATGAGACTGACTTGGATGTAACAAACAAGAGCGTATCTTTGAGAGACTAGCTCTAAACTCTATGTTCTGATATACAGTGCGATGGGAATAGAATAGTAGTTGCAGTACTCGAATAGCGTTTTCGAGTGATAAGTGATGCAGAATGTAGTTATGCACGTGGAAGAATAGATAAAATGAACGTACTTACTTACTTACTTACGCCTGTTACTCCCAATGGAGCATAGGCCGCTGACCAGCATTCTCCTACTCACTCTATCCTGGGCCTTCTTTTATAGTTCCATCCAATTCTTGTTCATTTTTATCATGTCTATTTCCATTTCCCGGTGTAATGTGTTCTTTGGTCTTCCTCTTTTCCTTTGACCTTCAGGATTCCATGTGAGGGCTTGTCTTGTGACGCAGTTGGGTGCTTTCCTCAATGAGTGTCCTATCCACTTCCAGCGCTTCCTCCAATTTCTTCCTCCGCTGGGATCTGGTTTGTTCTCTCCCACAGTACGTTGTTGCTAATAGTGTCCGGCCAACGGATCTGAAGTATTTTGCGTAGACAATTGTTAATAAACACCTGTATTTTCTGGATGATGGCTTTCGTAGTTCTCCAGGTTTCTGCCCCATACAGTAGAACTGTCTTGACATTTGTATTGAAAATCCTGACCTTGGTGTTGGTTGACAGTTGCTTTGAGTTCCACATGTTCCTCAGTTGTAAATATGCTACTCTTGCTTTGCTGATCCGCGCCTTCACATCTGCATCAGATCCAACCTGTTCATCAATGATGCTGCCCAAATATGTAAAGGTTTTTACATCTTCCAAATCTTCTCCATCAATTGTGATTGGATTGGTGCATGCTGTGTTGTATCGGAGAATCTTGCTTTTCTCTTTGTGTATATTGAGACCTACTGCTGCTGAGGCTGCTGCCACACTGTTCGTCTTGTCCTGCATCTGTTGTTGCGTTTGGGATAGAAGGGTCAGATCATCTGCGAAGTCCAGATCGTCCAACTGCATCCTAGATGTCCATTGTATCCCGCGTTTCCCTTCAGACGTTGACGTCTTCATGATCCAGTCGATCACCAGGAGAAATAGAAAGGGTGAGAGTAAGCAACCTTGCCTAACACCGGTCTTCACTTCGAACGACTTTGTCAACTGTCCTCCATGCACGATTTTGCAGTGTAATCCATCATATGAGTTCTGTATGATATTGACTATCTTCTGAGGCACGCCGTAGTGTCGAAGAAGTTTCCATAGTGTTGTTCTGTCCACGCTATCAAATGCCTTTTCGTAGTCAATGAAGTTGATGTAGAGTGATGAATTCCATTCAATTGATTGTTCCACAATGATCCGTAGAGTTGCGATTTGGTCTGTACACGATCTATCCTTACAGAATCCTGCCTGTTGGTCACGAAGTTGGGCGTCTACGCAGTCCTTCATCCTGTTTAACAATACCCTGTTGAAGACTTTTCCCGGTATTGAGAGAAGAGTGATGCCCCTGTAGTTATCACACTTGCTGAGATCGCCTTTCTTCGGTATTTTGATCAGACGTCCTTCTTTCCAGTCTGTTGGTACTTGTTCTTCATCCCAAATCTTCCGGAAAAGAGTGTGGAGTATTCTTGCAGTTACTGCTACATCTGCTTTCAGTGTCTCTTCTGGAATGTTGTCTGGTCCTGCTGCTTTGCCACTCTTGATTTGTCTGATGGCTATGCTGATTTCTTCAGTTGTTGGTGGGCCAACACTGATTGGGAGGTCCGTGGGTGCTGCTTCGATGTTGGGTGGGTTCAGTGGAGCTGGTCGATTCAAGAGTTCTTTGAAGTGTTCTACCCACCTGTTTTGTTCCTCTTCAATGTTGGTGATTACCTCACCTTCCTTGCTTTTCACTGGTCGTTCTGGTTTGCGGCGATTTCCAGAGAGTTTCTTTGTCGTGTCATACAGTTGTCTCATGTTCCCTTCTCTTGCAGCCTTTTCCGCCGTCGTTGCTAAATCTTCCACATATTTACGTTTGTCGGTTCTGATGCTCCTCTTCACTTGTTTGTTTATTTCTGTGTATTCAGCTTGTGCCTTGGCTTTTTCTGCACTTGTTCGGCTGGTATTGATCGCTGCCTTCTTGTTCCTCCTTTCTAGAATCTTATCCAGTGTACCTACAGTGATCCATTCCTTGTGGTGGTGCTTCTTGTGACCCAGGACCTCATGACATGTTGAAGTGATTGCCTCTTTGATCCCCTTCCAGTTGCTCTCCACAGTAGTTCCTTCTCCATTGAGTAGATCATGAAAGGCCTGGAACTTGTTGCTGAGGACTATCTTGAATTTGTTGAGTTTGTTAGTATCCTGAAGAAAGGCCGTATTGAACTTTTGTGATGTTGTCCGCCCCATTGTCCAGTGCTTCTTGAGTTTCAATTTCATCTTGGCGACCAGTAAGTGATGATCTGATGCTATATCAGCTCCTCTCTTGGTTCTCACGTCCTCTATAGTCCTCCTGAACGTTTTGTTGACGCAAATATGGTCGATTTGGTTTTGTGTAGAGTGATCCGGTGAAGTCCATGTGGTTTTGTAAATGCGTTTATGTGGGAATATGGTGCCGCCTATGACCAGCTTATTGAAGGCACGTAGGTTTGCAAATCTCTCACCATTTTCGTTTCTTTCTCTCAGTCCGTGTTGTCCCATGATGTCTTCATATCCAGTGTTGTCCGTTCCAACCTTGGCGTTGAAATCTCCCATCAGAATGGTCAGGTCCTTTGTTGGGCACTTCTCGACTATTGACTGCAGCCTATTGTAGAATTGATCTTTAGCGTCTTCATTGTAGTCGTTGGCAGGCGCATAGCATTGGATGATGTTCATTGAAATGCCCTCTTTCTTTGTTTTAAACGAGGCTTTGATGGTCCATGGTCCATGAGATTCCCATCCTATAAGTGCATTTTGCGCTTGTTTGGACAGCATCTATGCAACTCCTTGTGTATGCGCTGCATTTTCTTCTTCATGGCCGGAGTATAACAGGAGCTCTCCTGTAGTTAGTCGTTGTTGTCCAACTTGTGTCCAATGTGTTTCACTGATCCCAAGTACCTCTAGGTTGTATCTTCTCATTTCTGCAGCAGTCTGGAAGGCTCTTCCGGTGTCCCACATTGTACGAACATTCCATGTACCTGAATAAATGGTTGCTCTGGTTGTTAGTAGGGGTGCTGGCCTCGTAACTTCCGAAGGGATTCGGCTTTCATCATGAGGCGTCATAATTCTTCTAAATGAAGATCTTCTGACTCCCAGGGCAGAGTTTAAAAGGTTTGAATAATTTTTTCTGGTTAGCGTTTTTTTAGCGAGTTAGTTTTCTACGGGATGGGGACGCTAACCCCATGCCCAAGCCTCCTACTTTATCCAGGCTTGGGACCGGCAGTAGCCCCCGGAGGGACTCCAGGCGGAGTTAAAATGAACGTAATGGTTACTAATCAGCTAGTTAGAGGCATCCACAGACATAATAGGAGGCGACTTCGAAATGAAAAATGTATGTTGTGATAACATAAATAGCTGACCTCGACTAAGTGAATGAATGCAATATTAGATCAAAATGACATGAAAAATTGGAACGAACTCACTTAAAGCAGGAAAATTTCACGTTTTGAATAGTAAAAATATCCCAATGAGTTCTCACAAAGTGGAGTGGAATTTTCATAAAATGATAATTTGTTCGGTGAGTGATATGATTGCGAAAATGTCAATTTAGTGACAGCACGAACAAGATTAATAATTCCACATTCGGTCATGATATTGATAATAATGTAATAATAAGCATATAATGATAATTTGAATCGTAATTGAACAAACCGACGAATAGATCAATGAGAATGGTTGACATGAGAACAAAGTATCGATAAGATAATACGACTTGAGCATGTCCATACCATGATGCACAGGCTTTGCTGATTGCATGGGATTGGATATTGCGCTGGCTTCGCTGAATTTGTTCGTCGAAAATATAGAGTGCAGAAGTTCCTTCATCGACGTAGCTTGCTGCGTTGCGTTCGTCGTCGGCGGGATTACCACTTTAGTGGCCCGTGTATCTGACTCCCTTTTAGATTGTATGGATGTTTGTTATCGCTTTTTCTCGTATATCATCGTTGACTTAAATCGCGTCATCCAATAACGGAATTAAATAAGTCGAATAACGAGAATTGACTTGAGAATACATATATTTCGTACATGAAGCGAATGAAACATAGCAAAGCAAAAATGACACGTATGGAAGATGGCTGGGAAGCCAACTCCAATTCAAGCCGAACATTACTCAATATTTATAGGCAGACAAAATGAACTACAGACATGTGATGAGTCATGGGACATCAAGTGTACATACATATACGCTCACATGAATACAGTCAAGGCTAACAAGCGAATAATTAACAAGGTCAAAACATGACTCAAGTAGAATGAGTAGAATGGAATGTCCGGAAACTAGAATAAGATATACTATGGGCTAAAACGAATGACTAACACTACACCCATACACAAGAACAAATGCAGATGAAGACAAATAGTGTAGCAGCAGCCTCTGCCTCAGTAGGCCTCAACATACACTAAGGAAAAAGCAAGATACTCAAATGCAACACTGAGAACACCAACCAAATCACACTTGATAGCGAAACTCTGGAAGGTGTGGAAACACTCACATACTGGGCAGCATCATCGATGAACGAGAAGGATTCGATGCATAAATAAAGGTAGGGATTGGCAAATCAGGGGCAGCATTCCTACAGTTGAATAACATATGTAACCTAAAACAACTGTCAACAAATATGAAAGTCAGAATCTTCAATACGAACGTCAAGACGGTTCTGCTGTACGGAGTTGAAACTGCAACCATCATCAAAAAGCTGCAAGCATTTATAAATAGTTGTCTACGCAAGATACTCAACATCCATTGGCCGGATACCATGGGAGAGAACAAACCAACTTCCAGCTGAAGAGGAAATTAGAAAAATACGATGGGAATGGATAGGACATACATTAGGTAAATCATCAAATTGCATCACGAGGCAAGCCCTGACTTGGAATCCTGAGGGGAGGCGGAAAAGAGGAAGGCCAAAGAACATATTTCGTCGAGAAATAAAAGCAGATATGGAAAGGATGAATAACAACTGGAAGGAGCTGGAAAGGATTGCCCAGGACAGGGTTGGATGGAGAGTGCTGGTGGGCGACCTATGCTCCCCCACGAGGAGTAAAAGGTGTAAGTAATTTCTAGGGTCAGTCTTATCCAACTCCTTATTTTATGAGAGGGCAGGATCACCGCAGATGTTGATTGTGTTAGGGAGGCATCAAGATGCCGTTGTAGGGCCAGTGAAGTGTCACTGAGCCCTAGCCAAATCATCCGGCAGTTGGAACACTGAATGTCGCACAGATCATCGCTCCCTGCCAAGGTCAAGTACAACCAACGCGCATCAGTTAGTCGTATACCATGGACTGGCCCATGCGGCAGTGGTCTCACTTTCGCTTGTATCTACTTTAACTAATATATTTCTGTAATAACGTCCACTGTGTTGTACAGTCTTCAAAGCATCTTTGGTACCTTGGTACGTCAATGGGGTAGTTCACGTAAGGTGCTGACTATGAGGTGTGACTTCGACATTAGCTAGTTTGTCACATTATTCACGTCTAACTCGAGTAGGCCTCCAATCATTTCGACATAGATCATCTACGTTGGTGATTTACACTGTCGTACTTGGATCTTAGGTCTCCATTTTCATGTTTTTCCAACCGACCTTCCTGTCATGGTGGAGCATAAAAGAGCAGATTTTCCAGCTTATATAATTTGACTGAGTCATCACGATTGATAAACCCGATTATCACGTCAAATTAGCAACTACGGTTGTGATAAAAGTTAGATACAAAAATCTAGAAATTTATTTCATAGACCTTTGAACAGATTAACTTTTTACTGTAAGTTGAAGATGTTAATGTAAAAGAAAATATTTAAACTATTTAATATTAGCATAATTGTTGAACTAAAAATATATTCACTCATACTATCAGTTGATATACTATTGTGTTCAGTAAATATGTGAACTAAGCCATCAAATTTCTAGTGAAACATGAGAAAACAGATTTTATCAAACTAATCAAACGTTTCATTAGGAATTGTAAAGACTGCAAACTCAGGACCATCGTCAACCTTCTATATTGATAAAATATCGAGTATATGCATACTTCAGTGTCTTCAAATTATAATTAACTAACAAGAAGATGGTTAGTGAACTGGATTTCGGGAAATTGTGCATGCGTATAGTCCTAGCATAGTATATTGGGTTTAAAATCTTCAAGAGGCGATCAATTAGAGTTTGATTTTTGTGGACTTTTGTGTGTGTTTTGAACGATGAAGTCGGTGGTCGTACGTGTATATTTTAGAAAGGATAAGAATGATGTATCGTAGGTTTCATATGGCGTTCACAGCTTTTTACATTTATCAGACAAATCACCTTCATCAATGTTACTTTCTTAATGATAATTTGTACTTTGAAATAAATAACTGTAACTGTTTCACCGTTTCTTATCTTCTGTTGATGAACTGAGTGAAGTTAACCATAGTTATTTCTTTACACAAATGTTTAATTTTATAAAATCCTTCTACTTTCAAAGAAATATGTTCTTAATATTTTCAGTTAGTTTAATATAACTGTTTATTATAGTTCAAGCCCATACTAAAATTTAATGCAACATAAAATTATTATTATCAGCTTTATTCAATATTATATTTTTGGTACTATATAGATTTCTCAGCGTAAAGTATTTCAACAAGTTTCCGTTTCTTTCTTCTTGGTCAGTCCTGGCGATAAATATTGAGTGATCGCCAGTTAGCTGTTAGCAGTTCACTAAATGAACATCTGAATATTGTGCATTCTTTCCGTTGTATATTGCCAGCAACCACATTGTCTCTTATTGAGTTTTTTGTAACTTTGACAACGAAAGGTTGTACACTTTTCCGAAACGCAGCAGAATAGGTTATACGATTAATAAACATAGTGATATATTAAAACAAACAAAAATAGATAACTTGTTGAAATATCTAGATGGCAGGAACAGGTAGCCCAGATGATCAAGCAGGCCCCCCTTGCCAAATCTCACATCTTTCTTCGTCAAGACTTATTTATTCAAGTTACTATTACGATAGACAGTGAAAGTTATATGAGCATTAGATATTGATTATTGTCTGGTAAGTATTGCTAACTATTCAGTCATACTACTTATAGAATATATTAGTGTGGTTTTTTTACTGAAATTTTATATTTGTAAACCATGTTTTTTCCCCCATATAACTAACGTGGATGCGCAAGTCCGAGTTCAAATGAATTATTTCATTTGTAACCTGAAAAAGTCATCGACCTCCAAGTATTTCTGTTTCAAACGACTATCTTTTTACTTTAATTATCTTGTATTTCCGAAGGCATGTTATTTACTTAAAACAACTAGTTTGCTTACGAGTTTCTATCAAAAATATCAAATATGATAATGATAATTGGTTTCGAACAAAAATTCCCTCTGTTTTCCTAATTGATGTTGGTATCTTAATATAAACCGTTGCTTTTTAATGTATTATGCAAACACTCCCACCGGTTATCTATTTCGCATTCAGCTATTTTGACTGAATCTGTTGGGCTACATTGTTTTCAGTGATATTTTAGTTAGGTGTATACGATTATCTACTTGAATTCGATAAAATTCTTCAGTAACGTTAGTCCCATCTAAATTTTAACTTTCCTTAAAGGACCATATAAACCTATACCAGTTTGTTTACTACCATTGGAGAAATACTTTGATTGTCGGAGTTGTCTTATATCATAAAATAGGGAATAGAGGAAATAGAGAGTAACCTATCCCCTTCTATTAATAACGTTAGCTAAACATTCGAATAATCGTACTTTATGTATCCCAGCTTCTTTCTATTTTGATTATTTTGAATTTTATGAATTCAAGCAAAAACAATCTTTTGTGAGTAGTTTTACCCAGTCTCTCTAAGTGTCGAACTGTAAGCCTTAGCACTGGGTTCAAAATGGAACAGAATAATTTAATGAAATCATAAGATCTTTACGACTTTATTGGAAATATGTCAGATATTACTCATCTTAATTTAGGCTCTTCTGTTTCGTTACTATCAAAAAAAGATTCCGATCGGAATTATTATATGGGGGGATACCTGTTTTTTATATTTATCAACATTAGTCAATTTCTGTATATTACATATTCTTATATATTGTTTCTCGTTACGTGGGATATTGGAAACTCTTACTGGGGATAGCCGTGTGTCTCTAAACTATATAGTGAATGGAGTTGTTAGTAAACACTTTTAACTTTGAGAAATACTAGGAAGTGTCATTTTACAAAATAGAAACAATCCTCTTTATTCTCAACATTATACTGTTTGCTGTCTGGCAAAATAAGATAAAAATCCATTCGAATCTATCCACGTAGAGAAAGTACGAAAATCCTACATTGCCTTGTTCAGCAAAAATACTATGGAACGAAAAAATTCTAGGAAAAGAACTGACTAACAAATTCCTAAGTCTAGAAATTTAATGTAAAAAGCATAAAATAAAAGTCACTTCGTGGTTAAAATTACCTCTCTAGTGTTGGCACAACCTAGAGCGGTTGTGGTGGTATGCATTTTGTATTTGAATAGCATGAGGTGATACTCACACACTAATTCTTCGATGGTAGGTTCCAAGGGTTGATGACTCGATGTGAAAACCTCTATACCACGGGTATTTTATTCATTCATTGCTTTCGAACTCGTCTGTTATTTCCTCTGAGTTATCCTGATCTAGTAGGAAGGAATAGAGGGTATGTCGAGTTCAAAATCATTTTCAAGTATTTCATATATCAAAATCAGATCATCTCTTGGTCTAAGGTAAAATAGGTTGGATGGGTTTAACTTCATAAATCACCCTATTTGTTGTAAACTACGGAATTCCAGAAGTATACAGGTACCTGTCCTCTACATTTTTGGATATCCCTGCCAATTAGCAAGCAGTTGGTTCAGAGTGTGCGAACGTTTTATGTTATTATTCATAGGAGATTGATGATGCGAAATCCTAAAGAAGGATACTTCCCGAACTTCTAGTATGAAGCTGCCTAGTTAATATGGTCGGAAATAGCACACACCTTTAAACAGTACAAAATCCCTCCGTAATCAACTTATAGGATAAAATCATGTTATAAGGAGCATACAGTAGATAGCGTCATAATAAATGATTCCATGAGTGTTTTTTATTACAGTG